CACCCAAAGAATACAATAATTCTCAAATACCAGATCCTATAGAGAAGGAAATCCTTGAAATGACTGAAAAGGAATTCTGGGCAACAATTTTGAGGAAACTCACTGAGATACTGGAAGGCTCAGTTAGACAACATAATGAGAGAAGAAAAAAATCCAGGATATGAAGGAGGAAATTTACAAAGAGATTAATACCTTAAAAAAGAAGGTAGCAGGGGCCGGCCCGGTGGCGCACTGCTACAGTGCGCCGCTTGGGAAGTGCGGCCGCACTCCCGCCGAGGGTTCGGATCCCACATACAGACCGGCCGCTCACTGGCTGAGCGAGGTGCGGGAGCAACACCGAGGGTTGCGATCCCGTTGCTGGTCCCGGTCCGGTACAGGCGCGACACTGAGGGTTTCGATCCGTTGCCGGTCATGAAAAAAAAAAAAAAGAAGGTAGCAGAACTCAGGGAACTGATTCACTCAACAAAATAAAAACATAACAAATAGCTTAAGCAGCAGGCTAGAACAAGCAGAAGAAAGAATTTCTTATCTTAAAGGTAATCTTTTTGAAATAACCCATGTAGGCAAAAAAAAAAAAAAAAGGAAGAAAATCTAAGAGAGCTAGCAGACAATCTTAAGTACACAAACATTCAAATCATGGGTGCTCCAGAAGGGGAGGAGAAAGGAAAAGGCATAGAAAACCTATTCAATGAAACAATAACAGGAAACTTCCGAGGTATAGGGAGAGACATGGACCTTCAGATCCAGGAGTCTCAAAGATCCCTAAACAGATTCAACCCAAAAAGATCCTCTCCAAGACACATTATAGTCAAACTGGCAAAGCTCAAAGACAGAGAATCTTAAAAGAAGCAAGAGAAATGCGTCAAGCCTATAAGGGAGCCCCTGTCAGACTAACACAGACTTCTCAACAGAAACTCTATAGGCCAGAAGAAAATGGGATGATATATTCAAAATACTAAAAGAAAAAACTGCCAGCCAAGAAAACAAACCCAGCAAGGCTATCCTTCAGAAATGATGAAAAATAGTGTATTTTCCAGACAAACAAAAGCTGTGGGAGTTCACCACCACACGATCAGCCCTACAAGAAATCCTGAAGGGAGTCCTACATCTGTAATCTGAAAAATGATAATCACTACTATGAATACACAAGAAAGAACAAAACCCTCTGGTAGAACAAAAATGCATATGAGAAAGAGAAAGAAACTACATCTTACCACCAGCAAAAACCTTAATGACAATGTAATAATGCCCCTGCTTTATTTCTGATTTTAGTAACTTTGGTCTTTTTTTTATTTTTTTGGTCAGTGTAGATGAAGGTTTGCAAATTATGTTGCTCTTTTTAAAGAACCAACTTTTGGTTTTGTTGATTTTCTCTATTGTTTTTTTAATTCCCTATTTTACATGTTTCTGTTGTAATCTTTATTTCCTATTTATATTTGCTGTTGTTTTAGTTTGCTCTTTTTCTATTTTCATAAGGTAGAAGTTTATATTATTGATTTGACATAATTCTTATTTTTTTTTCCTTTTTGTCTTTTTTCGTGACCGGTAACGGGATCGCAGCCCTCAGTGTCGCGCCCATACCACGACCGGCAATGGGATCGCAACCCTCGGTGTCGCGCCCGCACCGCGCTCAACCAGTGAGCGGACCGGTCTCTATATGGGATCCGAACCCTCGGCAGGAGCGCCGCCGCGCTCCCAAGCGCCGCACTCTACCGAGTGCACCACCAGGCCGGCCCATAATTCTTATTTTTAATATAGGCATTTACAAGTATAAATTTTCCTCTAAGCACTGCATGAAGCCTGCCTCCTATAAATTTTGATATGTTGTGCTTTGATTTTTATCTTAAAGTACTCTCTAATTTCCCTGTGATTTTTCTTTTTACCCATTGTTTATTTAAAAGAGTATCATTTAATTTCCACACATTTGTGAATTTTCTAAATTTTCTTCTGTTACTGTGGTCAGAGAACATATTTTCTATTATTTTCTATGATCTTAATATTTTTTAATGTATTGTTTTGTGGCCAAAAATTAAAATAAAAATAAATAGTAATGATAATAAAGCAGATGATAGAGGGAGTGTGGTATTCTGAAAACCAAGTGAAGAAAATACATCAAAGAAAGAGTACAATCAATGGTATGCAATTCTACTAATAGATCAATTAAAATGAAATCTGCAAATTGAACACTGGATTTATTAATGTGAATGTCTTTAATGTTATTGATGAAAATAGTTGTGATGGAGTGAGGGAGGCAAAAACTGATTAAAGTTGGTAGAAAAAGAATTGAAGGAGAGGAATTTTAGATAAGGTGTTCTTAGCAGCATAGACTATTCAATCATAGGAGCTTGTTAAAGCTTGTTCTTAGCAGCACAGACTATTCAATCATAGGAGCAGGAAGGAAGACAGATAGTACGAACACACGTGTAGGTAGGAAGTAGATGTGGTAATGGCCAACTGTGATATTTCTCCTGATTTTTTTCTGTTTCATCAGTGAATTTGCTAAACAAGGAATTCAGCTAATAATAAGGGTGGGAAAGAAATGTTGCAGGTTTGAGAAGACATTCAGGAGAGAGGGAAAGTGATTGGGTCATTAAAAGGTACTAGCTCTAACAATGCTTCTATGGCCCAGTGAGGTTAGTGGTTATAAATAAAAAATGAGCTCCGAGGGCATGTTAGTGAGTTGTTCTCCAACCATTTAAAACAGTGTGGATGCAAACACTAAGTAGATAGAAAGTTGGATTCAACCCAGGTGAGGTTTGCCAAGGAAGAAAAACAAATTGAAAGAGGAACAAGGGAATTGAAAATGCATAGAAGAGACTCATTTTAAATACAGTTTTAATGTCAGGTAAGCAAGGAAATGAGGATGTGAGTGTTATAGGTTGGATTGTGTCCCCAAAAAGATGTGTTGAAATCCTAACCCCCTGTACCTGTGAATGCGACCTTTTTTGGAAATAGGGTCTTTCAGATGTAATCAAGTTAAGAAGAGGTCATTAGGAAGGATGGGCTCTAAACCAATATGTCGAGTGTTTTTGTTTTTTTTTCAAAAACAGAAGACAAAGTGATGCATCTGTAAGCCAAGGAGTGCCAGAAATTGTGAGCAAATGCCAGAAGTAGAAGAGATGAGGAGGTACTCTCTCCTACAGGTTTCAGAGGGAGCGTGTCTCTGCTGACACCTTGATTTTGGACTTCTAGCCTCCAAAAGTATGAGACAATAAGCTAGTTGTTTTAAGCCACCCAGCTTGTGGTACCTTGTTACTGCAGCCATAGGAAATTCATTCATTTATATATAGTCTCTGGTTAATTTCACACCACAATGGCAGAGTTGAGTGGTTGTGATAGAGATTAAACGACACTGGAAAACCTAAAATATTTATTATTTGACCCTTCCTAGAAAAAGTTTGTTAACCCCTGGTCTAGAGTATGAAAGTGGAAATAAGAGGCTGGGATAAGATACCATCCAATTCAAGGCTGGCTATACATAAGAAACTCTGACTGGTGTGTAAAATATTAGGTACATTCGAAATAGTAACATTAACTGTGGACTGTGGACATATGAAAAGGAATTGTGTTAGACAGTGAATGTGAGCAACTTGGCAAGAGATCAAATTACATTCTCGGGAGAATTGCATTTCTTCATGAAGGAAAGTAGGTCCTTTGTGCTTTTGGCTGGTAAATACTATCTCCTCTTTAATACGCCAATGGCCACCTGGCAGACACATTGAAAAGCTTAACACTTATTAAGAGGTTTGCTCACTTGATGGCAAAGGCTGGTTTAATTGCTAAAATAAAGTATTTGGTCTTTCAGAGTCTGGATACAGCATTGCTTCATTACAAGGTTTCATATAAACCCTATTTTCCATGCATCCTCTTCTTTTCTTTTGAAGTAAAATGTGCTTATAATAATATTGATTAACCACCCTGGTCATTATGTGAACTGAAATTATTCATGTAATGATGATACCTTTTACTTACTTAGTGCTTTGTTATTTGCAATGTGCTTTTGAATACATGATATAATTTAATCCTTCAAACAACCCGGTAAATCTGTTAAAATTCTACTTGACAAAGGATTAAGTTGAGACTTAGTAAAGTTAAGGGACCAGACCAAAGTTGCAACCATTTAAAAATAGAGTGAATCTTGAATAACTCCGGTAGTAAATTCATTTATTGGTAGAAACCAAATGCAAACTAATAATGCTCAAAATCCTCTAAAACTGTTCTCCAAAAAAGAATTTATTAGAATTGTAGAATTTCTCAGTGCAAGGATTTCTCTTTCCTTGGAATTAGGTAGAATAAACAATTGAATGCCAAAAATTCAATTTTTTTTCTTTTTTCTTTTTTTCTATTTTCAAGACTTAGAGAAATTATGGATGTGAACAACTCATCTTGTTTCTTTGAGAATTCATTTTCTCTGGAGAGAGCTCTGTGGAGCTGTGATCTTGACCTGATATGTGGTCCCTGCAGATTCTAGAATCCCAATGGGAAAGAAAACCATGCAGAGATTTAGCCCAAGAGCTTTTTTAAAACAAAAACAAAAACAAAAACAAACAAACAAGACACAAGGATCCCAGTGATGTCCCTAAGGAATGGCTGGCTTAAATACTTTTTGGAAGGAGGAGGGGTCTTTGTTACAAACTTCCGTCCCTCCTCTGGCTTCTGTTCCCTTACCGTCTGCCCCCTGCAGAGTTGTGTTTTCTGGGAATCAGCAAGTAAGATCACAAGTGGTCTTTTCTTTTTTCACTCTTTCCCATAAAGAAAGCTTTATCACGTGTGGCCTTAAAACTTGCAGCAAATTGCAAAGAAATGGCTCAAAGGCTTCAGCTCATTCTGTGCCCTGGGAGCTGAGATGCACGTCAGTGGCCTTGCCAGCGTGGCCAATTCTCTGCAGACTGCCAGAAAAAAGAGGCCAGGAGGAAAAAGGAAAGAGAAGAGATTGCCCAGGGGTGAAACTATGCCCTTCATCTTTTCTTTCCCCTAATCTGCTCTGTCTTTGTCCATCCAGGCTCTCCCCACTTGGCAAAACTGCTCAAAAGTGCTCTGGGATTGACCTCAGTTTCCTCTTTCAGTCTGTGGCGGGTGGTTAAGCCTCTTGCTGAGCACACTGAGAGGAACTTGCTGTCTTTGATCTTCACCTCCAGGTAAGACTTGGTTCTCTTCTTTCGTATTTTTTGACTATCAAATCAGATTCTCACAGGAGAGAAGTCAATAAACCCTTCATTTCTGCACTGCTTGTGTTTCATCCACAATGCTCCTCGATGAAGCTGATGGGTCCTTTGTTAGTTCGGTGGGAATAGAAGAGCAGACCCGGTTAAAGAAGTCAGATAAACTCAAATCTGGGTTCAGATTTTGACTTTGATGCTTATTAGTTGGGTAGCTTTGGACAAGTAACTTAACTGCTCTAAGCTCTATTATTTTTAAAATGGGAATTCTACAGCTAAACTTGTAGGGTTGTTTTAAGGATTAGAAAAAGTATGCACATCACCTGGCAGAAAAATAATACTTATTAAATTTGAATCTGATGCAAATAATTATTTCACAAATTATATATTTCTAAACAACACACACTCCTCCTTGGCAAGGACCATGAGGTTATTTTTTAAACCTTCTTGGCTCCTGCTGTCCAGAAGCCAAACTAGTACAGAGGTTTTCCTCATGCGATGTGGCTGGGAGTGGCTGCCTTTGTGACTTCCTCTGTGACATCCTTGAAGGGTGACTGGTGGATGGTGGCAGTCACTGTTTCACAGCACAGGGGTTGAGTGCCTCTGCATGATCCGACTCCAACTTCCTAAGCCACCTGCGCTCCAAATTTAAAGACTGGACGATCAATGTTCAAAACCATGTGAACAGAGAATTCAATTTTTTTTTCAAACTAAAATGAAGAAAAACTGCTTGGCTTGTTTTCCTTTGGCCTCCAGGAAAAGTTATACTCCAACACAAAGTGTTGGATGAAAACTTTGCCATATGTCTTTTCCTAGAAGAATCTATTCAAGTTACCAGAGAGAAATTAAGGATCTGCCAAATGCAAATCCTTCTAAATAACTGTGGGCCCTTGCTGTACTTCTGTGATTGCAAATGAAGAGAGAGAGACAGAGAAAGAGAGACAGACAGACAGACAGACAGAGAGAGCCTGCATGCTCCAAGGATTTTTCCATTCATGTCATTGAGCTGCATTCCCCCTCTTTTCCCAGGGAATGAACTATAGCCTCCTTAGAACATACTATACTTGGGATGATTTGCATATTAGCCATCAAGATGAGATTATGTTTTTAGTAAAACTATGCAGTGTCAATATTTTAGCTGAGTATTATTTTGCCCGAATATAGCTTCAACTGAGATGACTTTGTTATTGCTTCTGGATTCCAGTTTTTTGTGTCAACACCTCTAAATATAAGAAGACAATGTGTTTTAGCGTCTCAAGTTTTTAAATACTGTTTCCAGCATGATTTTTTTCTGTTTAGCTTTAGCATTCTAGAGGCTGTCCTTTGAATTTTTTAAAGATAGCTTTAGTGTAAATGGTGGTATATTTTATTAATAAACAATTTATTTGCTTTTTTTTTTT